TATGGCTTGAATCACTTAAATGTATTTTTTTTTCCTGGCCCCGGTTAAACTCGCGTCTAAAATATGGCATTCCGCTGCGTACTTTCCTCTCTCCGAATGTTTCCTGAAGCTTTTAGCCGTGACGTGTTAGATTTGTTTGGGCTTTGCGGCATGTACATTCTCATCTTGTGTAATTGCACTCCGTGTTTGGGATCGACCGTAATGACAAACATGAGAACAAAGATAAACAGCGAACGCGGCTCACATCGACGCCTTGAGCTGTGCGAAGAAGGCCCGAGCAATAACCTCTCACTGTTGATTTTTGTCTTTGGAAGTCAGGGTGCTCCTTGATCAGCACAGAGGTATTAAATTTTCATGGTCCTCCCACTAAAGGTACAAGCGTGTTTCTTACTGTGGGAGCAAAACCACAACAATTTGCTGTAAACTGCGACAAAGACTCCTTTTTTTTATGCTTCAAGGATAAAATCTGATTAAAATCTAATTGATCTTACTTCTGCAGTTGCAACTTTAATCTAGGAAGTTTAATTATTAAAGTACCTTTTCTTAAGGCCTCTTTAATAGCTCATACATAACATTAAAGACACATTTTTAAACTATTAGAGTAACTCTAGAGCCTGTCGTTTATTCTTATTTAAAAGAAAATGATCTTAAAAGCTCCCTATCGTAGTGTCTTAGTAACCCTGCACTGCTAACTTAAGAAAGTGGAGTCTTTACTCAGTGCAGTCTATTAACCCTGATGCACATCTGTTTTGACAGGTCAATGTCATCTTCCTGGTGGTGACGATCTACAAGATGGTGAAGCATTCCACCTCCATGAAACCCGACTCGAGCAGGCTGGGGGGTATCAGGTGAGGGGTGTCACTCCAGGAGACGAGTAGGGCCGGTCTGTTGTTGCGTGTTGTCAGAGAGTGTGTGTGTGTGTGTGTGTGTGTGTGTGTGTGTGTGTGTGTGTGTGTGTGTGTGTGTGTGTGTGTGTGTGTGTGTGTGTGTGTGTGTGTGAATAGAGGAGAAGGGGGAGGGTAGTATTTGTGAAATGGAAAAATAATATGCACCATCACTTCTTCTGCCTTCCTGCTATAATTTCAGAAACAGCATTTGACCTCCTCGTTTATTTGATTTCCCAACCAGGCCAACGTTTTTCCCTTTCAGATTTGATCTGTAGGTGGTTTCATTCTAGCTTATTTTATGATTTCAGTATTTGCACTACACGGTGGGTATATTGCCTGTTTTATTTCTTCATAACGGCGTTGTCGACCTTTGGCATCTTCTCCTTTTTTGCTCCTGTGCTTGCACAGTTTATAGGCATCTTTGGAAGACTGATCCCAACCACATGTCCTGTAGATTTCAAGATGGTGAACAGAGTGAAAGAAACGTGTGTGTGTGTGTGTGTGTGTGTGTGTGTGTGTGTGTGTGTGTGTGTGTGTGTGTGTGTGTGTGTGTGTGTGTGTGTGTGTGTGTGTGTGTGTGTGTGTGTGCGTGTGTGCGTTCAGGAGGTGGGAGTAAGGGGGGTCTTCCCTCCTCTTGCTTCTAGTGGGCTGCATTCGGTTGATAATGCGACAAATCCCTGACCACTTCAGAGCCTAGAGCCGTGTTCAACTGTATGCTTGACGACATGCCAGCATACGTAACGTGGGTGTTTGATTATTGGGCAGCTACTCAGATTTTGGTTCAAACCAAAACATTTTTAACGAAGATTGTAATTGGCTAGTTTTTAGCACAAAGAATTGACATATTTGTGAATGCTGGTTTTTTCACATTATAAAAACTCATCAGCTGTCATTAATTAGGGTCTACCTTGTGTCTGCCATGTGTTTCATTTTTTGGAAATGTATTTTCTTTTAAAGAAAAAAAAGGATAAATAATTTTTCTAATCCCAAAAATCACGCGGACTGCAGAGCTTCCTTTTTTTTAGCGACATGATGACAGCCAGTTTCTGCTCTCTTCTCCAGACTTACTGGATCTCCCTCTGGATGACTCACCTCTCTTGTGCATCACTTGCAACCAGCTTTTGTCACTGAAACTATTAGGTCATCTTGTAGGCTTTCCTAGAAGGGACCAAAACACTTGCTGTGCGTGCAGAAAGTTGAGCCAACAAGTCTGAGGAAGACCATGGAAACATTTAAGCCAAAACTGTGTCTATCAGCATTTCTACACAAGTAAAACATGCCTAAAAGAGGTTACACATGTAGGGAAACTACACAAAACAAAGACGCATCTGATCCAAGTTTATGTTCTTTTCTTTCTTTTTTTACTTGATAATATCACACTTGCTCCTCTTTTGCAGGTCATGGGTGTTGGGAGCGTTTGCCTTGCTTTGTCTTTTGGGACTCACGTGGTCTTTCGGCTTGTTCTTCCTCAATGAATCATCGATTGTGATGGCTTACCTCTTCACCATATTCAACACTTTGCAAGGGATGTTCATCTTCATCTTCCACTGCCTGCTGCAGAAAAAAGTAAGAATTGTTTTTTTGTCTTTTTTATTAATTCAACAAGTTAAGAGTAACTTTTTTATCAAGCTGTTTGCATCTTAAAATTGTCTTTATTTAATCCATGCTTTCGTTCTTTTTTAAACACAGAAACAGTTTTGTTTACCTGTTTGTAGCTACGGTTTCGCCGACAGCTGCCGGCTTCTTCAGGCTGACGCTGATGGTGGCGCGTCACTTCCTTCTCCGTTTATCTGCGGGCAGCAGAGGACGTTGTCGCCCTCTACTGCCCGCTCTCCCCTCTCCGACGATGCAGTCCCATGCGTGGTCCAGCGTGTAAACTCCGTCGTCCCTGTTCATGGTCCCACATCCACGTCTCCTTATCTCTATTGCTTCCTTGATCCATCTTTTGTATTTTTGTTGTTCAGTGGTTATGATCCGTGTGCTGTCCCAGTCCATTATATGGTTTTCTCTTAAGCAATGATCTGTTACGGCTGACTTTTTTATTGTACTTTCTGCTTCTTCTTTTGCTGCTCTTGTGTGTTTACGATTTGCCTCTTTCTCGCACTCCTTTCTGTGTTCTATTGTCCGTGTGTTGAGTTGGCGTCCGGTTTCTCCTATGTATGTTTTATTGCAAACACAACATAAACACACCAACAAAGCCATACACAACAGTTAGAAACAGATTAGTACACCCAAAAGACAAAATATCAGCTGGACAAAAATGTGGAGTCATCTACGAAATCCCATGCAAAATATGCAATAAAACATACATAGGAGAAACCGGACGCCAACTCAACACACGGACAATAGAACACAGAAAGGAGTGCGAGAAAGAGGCAAATCGTAAACACACAAGAGCAGCAAAAGAAGAAGCAGAAGGTACAATAAAAAAGTCAGCCGTAACAGATCATTGCTTAAGAGAAAACCATATAATGGACTGGGACAGCACACGGATCATAACCACCGAACAACAAAAATACAAAAGATGGATCAAGGAAGCAATAGAGATAAGGAGACGTGGATGTGGGACCATGAACAGGGACGACGGAGTTTACACGCTGGACCACGCATGGGACTGCATCGTCGGAGAGGGGAGAGCGGGCAGTAGAGGGCGACAACGTCCTCTGCTGCCCGCAGATAAACGGAGAAGGAAGTGACGCGCCACCATCAGCGTCAGCCTGAAGAAGCCGGCAGCTGTCGGCGAAACCGTAGCTACAAACAGGTAAACAAAACTGTTTCTGTGTTTAAAAAAGAACGAAAGCATGGATTTACAAAGACACAGCAAGAACACACCTAAGATGTCTTTATTTAACTTTTCTTCATTTTTAAAATCAATGAATTTCATTGAAGGGAGACATTTTTCTTAAATAGTGGAAGTTAAAAAATTATCTTTTAACCTCCTAGGGCCCTGTGTCAACCTTTTTGTTATTATTTATAGACACATGACAATGTTTTGTTTGCTTTCTTTTTTTATAGGAAATGAGACCCATTTTTTATTTTATTTTATTTTAATATTTGTAATTTTGTTTCTGTTAATGAGAGTAGACTACTCTGTAATAGTTAGATGTATTTTTTCTTTTAAATCACATCAAATACAGGTTCAGGCTTCAGGAGGTTAAGCTAAATAATGTTGCTCATTTTCAGCTCTTTAGGAGTCAAATATTTACTATGTTGTGAAGCACCTTGTGGATTTTGCCTGTGAAAGGTGCTATACAAATAAAGATTACTTACTTACTTACTTACTAAATTTGTTGCTTTTGTTAGTCTTTCAAAATAGTAATTTAAAACCACGAACAAGTTGATGTTTTTAGACCAGGGATGTCTCAACTTTTCAAGAAGACAATCAAATTTGTCAAGTTAAAAGTACTCACGGGCCTCAAAAAGTGTATAAAAGTGAAAAATAATTATATGATATCAATATATAAATATATATAAATATATATTTTTTTTCTTCTTTTTTGCAATTTAACTTTTCCGAGTTCAAATGGGCATATTAGTAGAAATGTTAGGTTAAAAGTGTTATAAAGTTTTACTCCACATTATCAACTTGCAGGAGAGACAAAATTCTTCATCCTACACTGAAAAAACAGAAATGCTTTGTTTGTTTAAGTTTTATTCCCTACAATTAGTTTCTACACAATTGGATCAAGTTCATAACATGAATATAATTAACCTGTAATGCTAACTTAAAAGTGCACCACTTGATTCCTTCTTGTTGGGGTAACTAAAAAGATTCTGTTCATCAATCAGCACACTGATTACTGGTTGAATGAAACAGATTTTCCAGCATGACGCTCATTCTAAAATGTTGAAAGTCTATATAAATTGATTACAGTCATTTAAAGTGTTATTAATGAAATGAAATATATATGTACTAAAATGTTTTGTATAGTTCTTAAGCTGGCATTGAGCAAAGAAAACATGACATTGGGGTTCAAATCAGCAGTGTCTCCAACTAGGATGACAGCTATGGAAATGACAGGGAGCATGTGCAACATGGTCTAGACTAGGGATGCACCGATACGATACTGGTATCGGTATCGGTGCTGGTCCCGATACCAATACCAGTATTGGTATCGGTAAAAGTTAACCGATACCAGGAACCGATACCAATGCAGTTGCTTGAAAATGGCTTCACTGTAACTTGTCATTTCTGTTCACCTAATATTTTAGCTTTGCGATCATTTCCATTCATATATTTTCCCTTTTATCTACCTCACAGTCTTTTCCTGTTGAAAGCAGAGCAGAAAATAAAATCTGTATTCCATATTATTGCATTTTTTTGTGTGGTAGAAGTATCGGTAATGGTAATCGGTATCGGCGAGTACTCAGATCCAAGTATCTGTATCGTGTCTGTTTGGAAAAAAGTGGTATCGTTGCATCCCTAGTCTAGACCAGTGGTACTCACTCCTTGTCCTGGAGAGCCGGTATCCAGCATATTTTAATTTAATCTCTGCTTCAACACATCTGATTTCAATCAGCAGGTGATTAACAGGCTCCTGCAGAGCTTGATGAGCTGCTGCACAGTCGATTCAACCACTGAATGTGGTGTGTTGGAGTAGAGAAACAACAAAAACATGCTGGATACCGGTTCTCCAAGACCAGGAGTGAGTACCACTGGTCTAGAGAGACAGGGGCACACACTCCCCAGCCTCAAGCTCAGATCATCCAACTAAAAATTGGATGACATTAATGAAATCTAGTTACTTTAGTTCATAAAAATCCTGTTGAGCCTATATGATTTTAAGCAGTTTCACATCATTAAAATACTTTGGATTGACTAGTAGAAGGAAAGAGAAATGTTTTATTGGTAAAACAGTTTTAACCCTCTCAGGCTCAAAATAAGTTTTGATAAACTGATGAACAGCCAAGTCCTTCAGGGGTACTTCTGAAGTAAAAATGCTCATGAAATACGTATGTGGAGTAACCAGGTAGGTAGGTTTTAATGTTGCAAATCTGCAACGTCTGCCTCCAGAGGGTTAATCATGTGGAACCGATGTACACAATAAAATCACGTAACGCCAAAGAGGTTTTTTTTTTTCCAGTGACTCGGAGGGCTGCAAATGGACACCAGGCAACACTTAGACATACTTCTTTCAGACTGTGGCTCAAATTAAACGTACAGCAGGATATATGTTTTTATTAACTTTAAAGGCATTTTTGCACACAACAGAGACAAACATGACCTTTTCCTTTCCAAAGACACACATACAGATATTTTTAAAAGCTCTAATGATAGTTTTTTTTTTTGGTTCAAGATGTAAGTATGGCTGTGCTTTAATTTTGCAGCATGTGGCACACTGTCTCTTATCCCAGTCCTTGCAGGTATGGCATTTAAGCTGCTGTCAGCTGGCTGGCATTTGATAAAGATTTGGGATTTGCAGCTCTCATGAGGTGTGAGGGGGTAGATATGTCACAGTTTGTGTCTTATGTGTGTTTGTACCTTCAGACTGTCCTGATCTTTTACTTCTCTGCAGGTCCGGAAAGAGTACAGCAAATGTTTCCACCAATCCCAGTGTTGTGGTGCGCTTCCGTCTGAGAGTTCCCACAGCTCCGCCAAGGCAGCCACGTCTCGATCCACAGCCCGCTACTCATCTGCTACACAGGTACGCCAGCGGGAATCAAACAGGGGTTTAGGATTTAGCAAACTGTGTGGTAAACTTCTCTTTAAGTAAGCACGTTTTTTTTTCTATCATCTTTTTTATGTCTTTGAAGGGTAATTCTGGTTAAAGCACTACATATTTAGGGGAAAGAAACCTGCAGTGAGTTAAGCTACAAGCATTTGGCCTTTTCTTGAGTGTTTGCTACTTTGAAGAACAAACTTTAAAGATATTTGTACTCATCAGAGGCCAGACAGATGTAAAAGGTAGCAAAAAGACAAGAAAAAAGGTTTGGGATTTTTTTAACAGATGTATCGACAGTACAGGTCTCGGAGCATCGTTGTGTCAGATGTTTGGAGGCTGAACACCGACTTAACTTTTATTGGACAAAAGAAAGATTCACCTACAGGATTTTGTACATTGGTGTCATTTTAAATGAGAAAAGGTGCATGAAGGTTACAGAGGATTGTGTCATCTTCTTGGTTTTGGTTAAATTGAGAGAACAGATGATGCTCAGTTTTCATAAATTTGAACATGTTATGGTGGAAAGTCGCATCGTCCTCAGTAAGAAACTATCACTCGTTTTTAGTAGCTGGTGTATAAAAGCCTGGAGTTATCTCTTACTGCTTCATGTTAGTTTCCAAGGAGTCAAGAGCTTTTTGACATTTAATATTGATCAATAATCCTCCATGCTTTCTGAAAAGCACCTGAACATTTTCAAGTGTTTTTTCATTTTATTTCTTTATTTGTTTTTTGTAAGTCCTGATGAATCATTCAGGCATAAAAAGGCTCCTAAAATAAAAATAAATAAATGAATTGAACCAATGTTGTGTCGGCCCGAAACAGACAACAGACATGTTGAATTGGTACTTCATTACCAGCATTCTGTCACAAAGACGTCTTTTCTATAAAAATACCAAAGATAACAGAGTATGACTAATAAAATAACATGTTGGCACCAACAATATTATTCCCAAAAGGTTATTAGTTTAAAACGTTTCCTTTGTTTTCTGGGGGGGGGGAATGCTGTCATGTTCAGGCACAAGGACAGGGTAGAGAATGGGTGCAGAAGCAGCAAAAGTGTATTAAAAAATCATAGAAACATTAAAGGTGTGGTTCTGTCATTTAATCTATACATCTGAAGTGATCTCTAGTAGGAATGAATGCCTTGTAAGTACTCTGGATACAAAAATCCCTGGTGCACCTGTTTCAGGATCTAAAAGATTTCCAGATCAGAGGAGAGCTTCAGACGGCAGGATCTGGAGTCTCACTTCCTGAAATTCTCACCTCTGATTGGCTAACAGCAATGCAACTCTACCACTGACCCTGTTTGCTGTGTTGATGTTTTATCTCCACAAATAACACAAGCCTGGAGGAGTTCTGCCGTGTGGTGGAGTTGCTAATGCTAACGGTTAGCTTCTATTAGCTGAGACGTTCTCTTCTGTTTTCTGGACACTAAACCAACAACAGCCTTCCTCGTTGCGAGTCAAGATGGGTGAGTCCAAGACAGAGTGACATAGATCTGTCAGGCTTTTGAAATCCTAGAGTTTCAACATCTATTATCTATCAGAAGCTAAGGAAATAGGTGTAGGAGACTAGTTTCCTGTTCAACTTGCATGTTAAACGCAAAGTGATTGATTACAATCAGAAATGATAATAAAAAATGTTATTTTTTAAGTGTTCCACACCTATCTGGAAACAGACAGAGTTAAAGACTGGATTAGTGGTGTCTAATGTTTTGTTTCCTTGCTCCAACATACCGGATTCAGTGGTTGAATTAAATGTCATTAAGTCCTGCAGAAGCCTGATGATTACTCATTGATTTAAATTAAGTGTGACAGAACAGAGAAGCATCTAGAATATACTGGGTAGTGGTCCTCATAGACCTAGAGAGTATGCAACAACATCAGCACTGTCATGATGGGAATCTTGGGTTTCCATATCTTGCCTTACAAAATGGTTCTAATCACTATTACACATTATTTCCATATTAACTCTATTTACTTGAGTGAAAGCTGCAGAAGAGGTCTCAAAACAGTGAAAATCTTGTTTCTAATATTATGTCCTTGTTTGCCTCTATTAGCGTTTGAAATGTTGAACTAAAGATGATACTGTATGTGTCTCTTATAATATCTGAGGCCTATCTTGGGAACGCCACTTGGGATTTAGTGGCTGCTTCTGCTCTTGCTGTCGGAAAAAAAAAAAGGGATCTCTCAAATTACAAACCGTGAGATTCTCCGCGTCTCCATTTTTGGTCGCAGTCGAATCAATAACACACAGGGCCTTGTCGCACAAACATGTCATCAGTCAGCGAGCCAATTAAATCTTCATTTATGTAGTCTATGGTTTGTATCACAAAACCACACAGCCACTCAATCCCGGGAACCGAAAGCTTTGAAGCAAGTCGGCACCATGTCGAGTACTAATCAGCGGCTGCTTTTTTTCTCCCTTCAACACAGAGCCGCATCAGGCGGATGTGGAACGACACTGTGAGAAAGCAGACGGAGTCCTCCTTCATCTCAGGCGACATAAACAGCACCTCCACCCTCAACCAGGGTAAGCAACTCACCTGAGGACACACACACACACACACACACATGCTCTCTGTTTGTGAGGAAGCGCCGAATTTACGATAAACACTTAACTGGATGCGGCCTACGTGGCTCTGCGCCAGCTGAGAATAGAGGAAGATGAGACCTGATTTCATGCTGCATTTCTCCCAGCGATCGGCAATCAAATGCATTAAATGCTTCTAAGTTCATAGCTTCTCTTGCGTGTCCCCGCTTGCTCGGACCCTCTTAAGGGATAAGAGATAAGAGGTGGGGTAGTTAGTGAGGTGTAAAATGTTACAGATGAGGACTTGGGTTCTTGTAATGACCCTGAATGGGAGAGACGGGATGTGCAGCAGCTCTCTATCATCTCCATCCCAGAGCGGCCGTCAGGGCTGGAGGAAGGGGGAGGATGGAGATGAGGAAAGTCAGGTGTAGGTCAGAGAAGGTTTTGGGAAGGATCCCAGCATCATGAGGCTCAGCTTTTTGGACAGTGCCAGGACAGTTTTGGCCCTGGCTCTGAATTAGCTTACAGCTTTTTTTTTTCTTTTTAGAGATCCCTGCCAGTGCAGAGTTTCTCCCCAATCCGTCCAAATAACGTTGGATGTGTTGTTGCATTCTGGAGGTTGATGGGGATACAGTGTTATTTGTGGCAGGGCCGCTCAGATGTGCTGTGTCTACTGTCTCGACTGGATGAGTTTGTTTAGATGAATTTGTTTCACATAAACTCTGCAGCCGATTGTGTTGCTTTGCTTTGGTCAACACTTGTCGCTGTAATAATGTTTGTCAGTTACATCAGCAGATTGTTTGGACGGCCGCATGCTCTCGATGACTGTTTTTTAATCGAAGGCAGTTTTATTTTATTTGTTTGTTTTTTTTTTGTTTACATCTGAAGCTCCCCGAACACGGAGCCACAGGCTCTCTTCCTCTTTTGCTGTTTCCTCACCTCCTAATTCTCTCCCTTTCTGTCTCTCTTCCTGTTATTTCAGGGATGACTGGCAACTACCTCCTAACTAACCCCCTCCTCCGAACCCACGACACTAACCCCTATAACAACCTGCTGGCAGAAACAGTGGTGTGCAACACCCCCTCTCCACCGGCCTTTCACTCCCCAGGTGCACATCCGCCCTTCACCTTTATTTTTGTTTTCATTTGATTTAGATTTTTTTCCTTGCACAGATTTGTGGTTGTTTCAGAGCACAGGTGCAGCATTTTGAGAAACACTTCCTTTCTAGAAGAGAGGCAGACTATAAACCACCTTCTTCTGTATTCTGTTGGAAACAAAGCTACGACCGAAGGGTTAGCCTAGCTGAAAAAAATATATATATGTGTGTGTGTGTGTGTGTGTATACCAGCTATTTTAAAGCTTTATAATTAACACATTTTATCTTGTGTGTGTAAAAACAACAGGTCGTGGGGTTTAATGGCATGCTGGAGCCTCAAACACAAAAATCCGCCCATCAGGACCCCAAAAGCACTCTAATTAGCACTTTATATCTCATTTGTTTAAGCTGCACGGAAACAACAATTTGCCATTTCAGGGTGGGTTATCTTCCAGCCTTGGATCTGAGCAGTTCCCAGGCAACCAGCAGACAAAGGAAAGTTACTGGTCTTTGCCAAGTTGTGTTTCAGTGCTTGAACCGACACAAACAGAAAATCGTCACTTTTTTTATACACCAGCATTTGTGCAGTTAATAAAAAGGAAACTGATATCAAGTGTTAATTAATGAGCTTTAAAGATGGCTGCAGCTGGATCGGTGTTGTCTTTCGACGCAGTTTGCCTTCAGTCTTTATGCTATTTTAAGATAAGACAACCCCATCTTGGCTGGGGCTTCACATTCACCAGACGTGCACAGAGTGGTGTCAGTCGTCTCATCTACCTCCCTGCCAGAAAGTAAATCCTTCTCAAAATGTTGAACTATTACATCAAGTACTTTACTCTTTCTTTTTTTCTCTTTTTTTAAATGGTAAAAACTCTTGAGATTGTGACTTGGCATGAATGAAAATAAGTTGTACCTTTTGTTCTGCCTCATTCTCACCATCGTCGCATTTTAGTTCTTATCTGCACAACGAGAGATCAGCGTCAATGCTTTCTTATCTGGTCTACTTAGCAGTCAAATGGGAATTCCCTTTTCTTGTTTAAAAAAAAATCACCCGGATCATATATTTCATTATGTCGTGTCGAAATCTTTACATTTGCTCAAGATTACACTGAGTTTGAACAGCACCAGCGTTTAATGTGACCTAGTTCTTTACTTGCAGAGGAAAAGAACCTCAATCAAAGCTGCAACAGAAGCACATGACGCAATGCGGGCAGAGTTACGGGCCTCTTGTTATTCACAGGCATTTGATGATAAAAGGGATCACGCAAAGTGGCAGAGTGGCGAAATTGCGAGTGGAAGCATCGCCCGATTAACCTGCCTCGGTTTGTGCTGTTTTGTGCTGGGAGCTGGCTTGTAGCTCAGTGTGAGCACTTCACACTTAGAGATAATGAAGCAGGTCTGGGACTAAACAATGTCTGCACAGTTTATCAAACGCGTTGTTTCTTTCTTTTCTTTCTAAGATGAGCTCCGACGCAGCAAAGCGCAACTTTAGTGTGTGTTTAATGCCCCTAAAATGTTTACCTGCCTGATCGTTGTTTAATAATAGCACGTTAACACGAGAAGCACGGGAGACCGATAAAAAGAGAGAATATTCAATTAGCAAGTAATTCTCTAAGTGAGCATAAAACCTCCTGCTTTACCTGCGCAAACCACTTTTCCTTCCCGAGGCGAACCTCAGGAGTTGGGTGGGTTCAAACGTTGGCACAACAGAGGAGAATACCTCACGTTGCTACAGCAGAAGCAAGCGCAGTGGCAAACATAAAAAAATGGAAAAGAAAAGCAAGGATTTTACATATGGAAAATAGTTTGAGGAGAGGAGCAACAGTGTGACACGCAAATGTCAAAACCCGGTGTGCAGATCACGAGCCAAGTTTAAAACACGCCTAGAGAAACTGTCAACTTGAACACAAGCTTATTCTGAGTTTTTCCTGCTATAGTCATCACACTTAAACTCCTGCAGAATAAAGGGATGAGCCTGTCTTCTGTTATGAGTGTATTAATACTAAGTAATGCTGTGCAGATGTTGCAGAAGAACTGCAAAAGGGGAACATATTGGACGAATCCCTGCTGGAACAGATCCCGGTGTGCAGCTGTCGCCATGTCCAGATGAATTCTGTTCACATCGTTCCTCCTTTCCCGGTAGACAATACCTGTCTGTAATTAAATAAATAAATAAAAATAGCAGACTGTGCATAAATAAAATGCAAATTTCTAAGTAGGGTCTTTCCAGGCGTTCGTTTGATAATCTCTCCACTACTTCACCCTGCTTTTTGCTTTCTGCACTTTTTCTTCACTATTTTTAGAAATATTTTTGATGTTGTTTTGCAGTTGTCATCCGTTTTCCTGACATTTTAAACCTCACACTTACAGTTTCTCCTTTGTGCTTTTTTGTAAAATGTTCCTGCAACAGCAACGCGCTCACTCTTAAATCCTCATCAAACCCAACGAGTCCTTATCCTGCCACATTCGAACGTAGACGCGGAGCTGTGGAAAAATGAGAGCGAATCAGTGCACGTGTGATATGTTTGTGTGTATTTATTTTAAAGCTGGCAGAGTTTGGCCCACTTGGGAACAAAAGCCCTATCAGTTTCGTTTGGAACAGTTTCCTCCGCTGAAAACCGTGCTTGCTGCTGAACCCTTTCACCTCCACGGTTCTGGATTCAGTTGTCTTTGATTCGGCCTTTTAGTCTCAAAACGGGGAGCAAATCCTTTTCTCCTCCTTATACTTAAAACAATTCAAACTAAATTATGGTTTATTGCAAAAACGGAATTCAAGTTGCATCAACTGAATCCAGGCCGAACGTTACGAGCTTCCACTTTTGTCTTATTTTGTTGTTTCTGCTGCAATTGAAAAAGCATCTGTTTTACATTTTTTTTTTTTTTTTTTGCAAATCAGCTGTTCTTAGGCCAGATAGCCTGAGCAGACACACTTGATGTGAGTGGTGGCAAAGTGAGTCATTGCACGGTGCCTGTGTGTCGTGGTGTGTGTGTGTGTGTGTGTGTGTGTGTAGGGGGGGCTGTTGCTGTTTGTGGGGCCCTGGCGCTTAGAGACGGCTGGCCATCTGTGTTTGACATTACCCTTTTGTCTTTTTTAACAGGTGGAATGCTTCATTCGTTGTTAATGTTGCCACGCTACCTCATCAGCATTTATTTATCTGTTTTAGTTGCATTTCCTGTCATTTTTCCTGCTGGTGTGTTGTTACCTGGTCATTAAGCTACTTTATGATACTTTAAAGTCTTATATATATATATTTTTTTTTCAAGTTTAAAATCATCTTTTGTTCCCATTTCTCCAATATTGTTCAGGATAATCTCTTATATTGGCCACGCCTATATTCTGTGATTATGTGAGTGGACATGGTGGGAAAAGTGTTGGGTTCTCCTTTAATTTTTTGCCCTTGTATAAATTAAAATTGACCCGTAGATCAAAGAGAAAAAGAGTGAAAAGTCCTGAGCAGTATCAAGCACATGTGGATGGTGGTTCAGTGGAGAGTGACTTTTTTTTTCCCCTCCATATGGTGGAAAAGGATGTCTCACCTGTTTTTTCTGCCTTTTTTTCTAGGACAGCACTCTCTCAGCAACAGCAGGGACATCAGCGCCATGGACACCCTTCCCCTCAACGGAAATTTCAACAACAGCTACTCCCTGCGCGGCGACGACTATGAGACCGTGGGCGTTCGAGCCCCAGGTGACCTGGGGGGCCTCAACTTGGATGACGCGGCTTTTGAGAAAATGATCATATCTGAGATCGTCCACAACCACCTGAGGCCCCGCGGGGCTCCCAAATTTCGCAACACTCCCAGAGAAAGGGACAGAGCCCTGCCTCCTCAGACGAGGGTGACACTAGACCAGAGCGGGAGCGGCAGCGAGGATGACGCCATCGTGGCAGATCACACTGAAGCCTCATCTCCTCAGAGAGGAGGTGGAAGAGGCGGTCAAACCACCCTGGAGCTGCTCCTGCACCCCCACCATAAGGAGGTGCTGGAGGCCCCCCTCCTGCCCCAGAGGACTCACTCTCTGCTCTATAGCGCCCAGAAGGCCCCCAGGCGCCTGGAGGGACAGAACGGCCATGGCAACGAGCCTGTGACCACAGTAGAGGACACGGGATCTCACTCCCCCAACAACAACAGAGACTCACTTTATACCAGCATGCCAAACCTGAGAGACTCACCCTCGCCTTCAGCTTCGCCGTACCCCCCCGAGGAAGAGGAGGAGGAGGAGCTCTCCCCCTCACCTCACAGCGAAAGTGAGGACACGCATCGAAAAAGCATGCCGGAACTCGGCGATGCTCCCCAACCGATGTCCTACTACCACATAAACCGAGGCACCAGCGACGGGTGCATTATCCCCCCCAACAACGAGGACTGTGCTCAGGAGGGAGAGGTCCCCAGCGATGGACAGATGCAGCTCATCACCAGCCTCTGAAAAAGACAACTTTGCACAGATTTTTTAATCAGCTGGACGTTTTTTGCTTCAGCTGATGTCTAAAGAAGCGTTGAGCCTGGCTCTGCACATGCCCTTCCTGTTGGGGCAGGAAGTTGAAAGTTGCCGGGCGGGAGTAGATATGAATGAACGACTTTTGCACACAGATCTCATTTACACACGAAACACATCCAACTGAGGCCGGACGAATGTGGGCCGCGGACGCTCTGCTGTTGGACTAACGAGGTGCAGAGGATATCACACAGTTTCAGAGATAAGTCTGGCCTTTCTGTTGTACTGGGAGAAAAATCATAGAGTAAAGGATTGAAAAAAAAACTCCAAGTAAAGAACCATGAAACTCTTGACATATTCCTGGGGGGCTTTGTTGAACCAGGGCCTTTTTTTTTTTAGAAGCGCAGAACTAGAACTAGTGAGGCTCCACTACACCATCAGGACTGTAAAGTTAAGAAACCACTAATTCAGACTCAGGCCTTATATTTTCTCTATTGCACAATTAACTGTTGTACATGTAACAGCTGAAAAAATATATTTTGCTGTACCACTAGTGTAAATGAAAAAAAAATCAAAGGAAAAAAAGATTCAGTAGTTATGCCCTTTCAATGTTACGATTGTTCAGACAAGGTTAATCAAAAACTTCAGAAATGTGCGTTTTCCTCTCACACACGACTTGTTGTATGTTTGAATAGAAAAAAAGAAAAAAAAAACATCTTTTGCCAGACATCGGTCCTTATGAACCCATTTTCAAGTCTCTGCTTGTGAAGTGCTTTTTTGATTTTATGAATGACGAGTTATTTGCCAGTAGTTTCTTCGTTGACACCGGGCCATGCACACATTTACAGTAGAGTGAATTGGATACATGTGTAATTTATTTGACTTGAAAGAACTCAAGGACTTGTGTTCATGTCATTGCGATATTGCAGTTTTCGGGGGACGTGTTTCATCCTTTGACACTAATTAATTTATTAAGTATTCAATAATTAAAATGAAAAAAATAAATAAATAAAATAAAGACCATGGTTGGGAAGTGTGAAAAGTTGTTGCAGCACTGATTAGGTTCATTTTGTTTCTTTTGTAAGAGCCCATTATCAGCTGATATTTAATTCAACTCCTGTTTGATATCAAATAAATGTGAATTTTTTCTTGTTCGCAGAAATCCAGTTTCATTTTTTTTGTTTTATATCTACAGGAATCGTGCATAAATAAATAAAAAAGACACCTTATTCAATTCACGTGAAGCTAAAGTGGAAAATGTAAATCTAATCAGTGGTTTTTTGGCTTTGTAAATATTACCATCTATCAGGGGACGGCATTTCATCTGATTTGACCTTTCAGTGCACACACACACACATGCACACACACAAAGACGAAGAGAGGTAGAATAAAACCCTAGCGAGCTCGCTGCAACAGTTTGTCCCCGTTCTCATTCTGTCTCATCCTCTGTGTTCTCCCCCTCTCCTCTGGATGAAACATCTGCTGTCCGCCTGTAAAAGTCTGTCCGTTTCATGTCCAGTAACGACGCTTCCCCTTTTAAAATCCCCCCTGTGGTGTGAATGCATTTTGAGAAATGTCAGCCGCAGAGTTGCACAGGAAAACTCAATTTTACAGCATGTGATAAAAAAATAATAAAACACACAGAACAGAAACCTTAGGTAGAGCAAACTATCTGAAAAAATAACAGTTGGTGCTTTTGCATTAAAAATGGACTATTTCACCACATCAGAAAGAAAAATAGGAAATAAGGATGTAAGGGGGTATGTTTTATGTTTTCAACTCTGAAAATGAAATATGAACTCCGTGAAAACTGGAAAAGCAAGATTTTTATTTATTACTTCCTGGTTTTCTGTGTGGAAATATAGGAAATATAAGTAATTTGACCGCTAATAAGAAAAATGTTAAATAGTTCCACTTGAAGACAGTTGCTTAGAGAACAAAGTTATATCTGAAAAGTCATCTTGACCTCATAAAAAATATAGTTTAAAAAAAGAAACTGAGTTTAAGCAGTTTGGGACTAATCTAAGAATTTCTTAGAAGCATGCCTCTGCAGAATTGTGAATTACACTTGAGAAACGACTGACTCCCCTCAAAATTCTACCAAAATTCTACCAAAATTATACCTTGAATCTGTGTTTTTTTAAGTGCAGTGAATCTGGAATTCCTTGCAAAACAAAGAAATGAAGTTTGGATCGAACACAAACCACCTAGCAGGTCAAATGTAATACTTGTTTATTACTTTACTTGCTTTACTCATAATTTTAAGTCAGATAAGGATTTACAAAACTCATTCCACCAGTTCAAGTATGAAAATTATTGTTTAGGGTATTTGAACATATTTTTAAATAAAGTCAGTAAAAAAGGAAAAACACACATTTATTGAATTTAAAAAATATATTAATTTGAATTCTGATTAACAGCTCATTGCACTAAACCGGGTGTTAGTGTTTTTTTATTTATTTACTAGATAAAATTTTATTATTCTGAAAATGCAGATGAGAAAATCTGCACTTGGGGATGTTTGATAATTTAGCTCAGAGGTGAAAAGAGTCGATTAAAATGATGTTTGGTGTCTGTTCATGCAAGATAAGACTAATCAAAGCACATTACATAGATTGGAAGAGTTGCATAATTTCTAGCAACTACTTTTGCAGGAAACATGCATTCATCTAATTTTTTCCACACACACACCCTTCGCTGCAGAGCGTGGTTTCAGGAAGCTGGAGCTTTTCCTTTCCCAGCTGTCACAAGGGAGCTGCAGTGAAATATGCAGACATACAGTACCCACGTCGACTTGATAAGCATCAGTTTACACTGTTGTGCATCTTGAGGGGCTGCTGGTCGCTGTTTATACTGCTGCTGCATCTAAATGCAGCATTGATTCTTAGGTTGGAGGAGAGCTCAGTTTGGCAGAAAGTTAATCCCCTCTCCTGTTACGGCTCTGGATGTACTCACACGGCAGCTCGGGGGTCGGATCCGGTGACACGAGTTATGGGACTATTCTTAAATGTGATGACATAATTTGTTTCTTTGCGTTGTCCTTGAGGTGCTCTAGTCTGTGTGACAACAATTCATCCTGTCACAAAGATAAAGACACGAGGCTGCAATGTCTCTGTGACAGCTGGGGCAGCAGTAGCTCAGGTGGTAGAGCGGGTTGCCTCATGATCGGAGGGTCATGGGTTCGACTCCAGCTCCCGCCAGAGGTATCCTGCTGTTGTGTCCTTGGGCAAGACACTTCACCCAACTTGCCTGTGTTAGTGGTGGTCAGAGGGGCCGACGGCGCCAAATGGCAGCCTCGCCTTTGTCAGACCTCCCCAGGGCGGCTGTGGCTACAAGTAGCTTACCATCACTAGCAGTGTGTGAATGTGAGAGTGTGTGAAAGCATCTTTGGGTGTCTAGAAAAGCGCTATATAAGTTCAATGCATTATTATTATTATCTGTGAATAACACAAAAAAGGGTTAAATATGCAGGTAAATCTTTTGATTTTAGGTACTCTCATAACACCTTACACTAATTTTACAGACAGTGCAGCTAAAGCTAAATTCCCCTCTTGTTTTATTTGCCTCACGTTCTGTTCCCTTGTACCTACAAGTATTTATTGGCACACCCTGTGCACCCATACTTCAACAATGTGTACTGTACATTTAGATTAGCTTCACTGTACGTTGCAGGCTATTATCTAAAGCCAGCATTAATGCTTGCAAAGCGGTGACATTTGGCTCAAATAGGTTGCACGTGAGCATTTTCCCATCAGGCATGCTGCTGCGAATGCATACAAGGATATTGTTACAGAGCAGTTTAATCTATAATGACAAACAGATACTATAATGTAATCCATCTCTTGGATATTTGTACATTCTGGTTGAAATGTGGTGAGAAAATGAGCTGTGGATTCCTGAGCTTCACTTCACACACACGCTATTCTTATTTGATCATCACACCAAAGCCAAGGAGAGAAGCCGCTTACAATGAAAGTCCATGCAACAGAGAAATTAATTATTATCCTGTAGAGGTATTGCTTCTCATCAGATCAGATTATTCCAGGTAAAGATGGCCGTTGATGGTCGTGTGGGCCTTGTTGTTCATTGTGCATCTTCAGGAGACCATTATAGAAGATTTGGCATTTGAAATGTCTTTCATCTGCAGGTTTTCGCTCTTGCTGACCACACACACACTCTAGCTGACCACACACACACTCTAGCTGACCACACACACACGTACACACTCAGCAGGCAAGCAGTCGCTGCAGGATGCGTGCGTTAGAGTTTATTAGCTAGAAGTTTGGTGCCAGTTTGCTGTCAGGGAATTGACGTGGAGGCCAAAGCAAAGCTCCGAGTCCACTTCGGCTCTCGGCGTTGTTTTTTCCTTGGTTTACTCAGAGCCTTCCAAAAGCCCCGAGAGACCGCAGAACCCATCTGTATTTCATACAGAACATTTGGCTTCCCTTCAGTTATAAATCAAATTAAAAGCAAAGCTGATGACCTGCACACGGTTCACCAGAAAAACGAACGGGCACCTTTGGTTGGTGAGCGCTTCCGCTTCATAAACAGAGTGGCTCACGGCAGGGCCTCACAGGGACAAATCAACCCTCCAGGACGTGCGTGATGTCACTGCGATGATGGTTTCCATGTCTGTGTGATGAGTTTCCTCTCCTGTGCTTTACAACAGACAAAACTGTGATGAACGATTGTGCTGAGCTCCCTTTTCCGAACGTAAGGATCAGTTTTGCATGATGCATATATATTGGTTCATTATCACTAAGTCACCTGTGCTCTGCATTAGCAATATTATTTTAAAGAACAATGGATTCTGGAATTGAGCAATGTATAGGTGATCCCATACTTTCCACAAACAAGACTGGGGAGGTGGGGGAATGGGGAAAGAGGGGTGGGGGTGTTTCTAGACACAAAAATCAGCATTTCTCAGGCTCTCCTCATCCCGCTGTGATGATTTCCAACCATTCATCCTCTTCAAAGACACTCCTTCCACCTTTGACTTCTCATTGAGTCGCTGACATTACCATCTATCCTTATCTGATTATATTATGATGCAGCGCATTAGCCATGCAGTGTTTGCAGTGCAAATGAAAAAAGAATAGTTGCCAAAGTTTGTGGGAGATGAAAGTGCCTCATTTATCAACTCATCTTTTATCTGCGTGCAGTCAAAGCCCAGCTTCTGTGGAGCAGTGGCGGACAACTTGCGCAGCAAGGCTCAGTCCGAGAAGACATTACCGTGTTTTCATTTAGAGCTGTTTGATGTTTCAGCCTCTGGTGATTTGGACATTATTTCATGTCCATCATCAAAAAGACATCAAACAAGATGTTTCATTCAAAATCAGATCACAGAGACTGGACTAAAAAAGTGATTTAGAGCACCGGTGTGTTGGTGCTCATTGCTTTTACTGTACATGTCCTGTATACGCATCTAAATGTATGCACTCTTTCATCAGGAATTCTCCTAAACTCACTGAAATTACCAGTTCTTCCCCCTCCACCCACTCAAGAAGGGTCCTGCTTTAGAAAACATCACATTATTATTAAAACTAAGAGGCAGTCTTGCACAAAAAGTTTATTTTCTTGGATAGTAATCTTTTCTTGAACTACTACCGGACCTTTGCATAATTACATTATCAAAACCATAGTGCAGAAGGGGTATTATGTATCCTGAAGGCCTCGGTTTACATTGCACAGCATTTCTTTCTGCAGCATGAAGATAAAGAACATCTGAATCCCTACTGCTTTGCTGCCGCCATCCCAGACAACAAGACTCCCCTCTCGTAGGCTCACTCAGACTCTATGTACTTTTTAGCCTCTGCAAAAAGTGCAAAATCCCTTTTTTCCTTCTTATTGATAGCAAGATGTGGTACCCTTAACCCTAACCCAAATCATTTTAAAAAAGAAGAATTCTTGCTAATAAAACAACTTCAAAATTGTAGCGTTGAAATTTTGCTTTCATCCCTATGCATTTCTGGATAAATATGCATTAAAGCTTTTTAATTTCAGCCTTGTGGTGCCTAGAGCAAAAAAAAAAAAAATGCAACAGACGATGATTTACAAAGAAATATGGCCTTTCTGTTGCAACCAGAAAAATAAAGCCATGCTATGAGAAATTAAGTCTGCAAACGTAAAATATGCTCAGGACTCCTTTGGAGTC